GAAAACTTTAAGAAGCTGCTAGAGCGGAATCCTCAAACACGATTCATGAGATTGTACTACGAGTACATGACTTTAGACATCGGCCCCTCCTCGTTCAACCCCAATCGCGCTGTCTCCCATCATTTCAGTTGTACTTCCGTTCGATCTCACAATGAGGCAGGAGATTCAAGGAATTCTAGAGCCTCACCGTTCCCTGATTGTCCCAACTATTTTTGCGAACAAATACCCCACCGAGAAGAGATTTTTCACAGATGGGTCGGTGATAAATGTGTCCACCGGTTTTGGAGTATTCCACGATCTTCATAGCGCCTCATACAAGCTTCAAAAGCCGTGTTCGGTATACGTTGCTGAACCATTATTTTATTTTTACGGATAGCCTAAGCTCCCTGGAGGCTATGCGTTCAATGAGGCCGATGAAGCACTCGGCGTATTTCCTCCAGGAAATACGATCGTCATTGAGTGCTTTATCAAACAGCTCGCATATCATCACCTTGGTATGGGTCCCTTCTCATTGCTCTATCCCGGGCAATGAGAAAGCGGACTCGCTGGGCAAGGTGGGCGCTATGGAAGGCGACATTTACGAGCGACAAATCGCCTACCACGAATTTTTCACGATTTCTCGTCAGCAAGTCCTCGCCAACTGGCAACAAAAGTGGAATGATGGTGATCTGGGAAGATGGCTACATTCTATTGTCCCACAGGTGTCGATCAAACCCTGGTTCAAAGGGTTGGATATGAGTCGTGATTTTATTCGTGTAATGTCCAGGCTCATGTCCAATCACTGTTCATTAAACGCCCACCTCTTCCGTATTACGCTTACCGACAGCAACTTGTGTACCTGTGGAAACGGTTATCACGACATCGAGCATGTTGTTTGGTCCTGCTCCTTGCATCATGAGGCGAGATCCGTTCTGTGTGATTCCCTTAGGGTCCGAGGAAAACAACCCTCTAAGCCAATTAGAGACGTCTTGGCTTGCCGTTATATCGACTATATGATGCTTATTTACGACTTTCTTAAAGCTGTTGATGTATGTGTTTAATGTTTTGTGTTTTAGTCATCCTTTACGTTTAAGTTTCAAATTAGTTCAAAATGCTTTCGCTTGTCCTCCCTCCAAATGATCAATAAATGTAATCCCTAATCTCGAGTAAGCCGAGAGTAATCGGCCCCGTTCTACTAACATTAGTTGTAAGAAATGATATTAATGTAAAAAATATTCGGCTCCGCAAAGTTAACGCATTTGAGCCTTGACAAATAAATGGATTTATAAAAAAAAACTAATCTAATCTAACCTGAGTACTAAACATCCTAGGTAAAAAGTCACACAGGTATAAAAATAAAAACGGCAATGTGTTGAATCGGAACCTACCTAAATAATAAAAACCAATTATCCTCATCTATCGTATAAAATTACCACTTGAGGTCTGATATTTGACTTTAAGTAACTATGTAAACAACTATACAGTTCTTGCAATCTTCCTGTAGTTAATGGAACTGTCCTGAAGCTCTTTCATATAGGATGAAGTTATTTTTGTCAAATCTATGGGACCGTACACTAGCGTGCACAGGAACCTTGTTAAGGAGGGGCATTTTTTTTCTATGGTGCATTTAATCTGGAGATGTGGAGTACTCCAAAGTGCGTGGAAGATGGTGCTGTTCTCCCACCACTGTTTCCCTACTGTTTAATTTAGCTAATTTGGCAATTTAACCACATCGACGATGTCGATGTCGATGTTTTAAAGATGATATAAAGGACAAACTTTCTAACCACGGTAACAAATGACTTGAAATTCTCAGAGAAGAATTTAAGACGAAATTTTAGCAGGACAACAATAGACCAAGGTTCAATGGCAAACTAATACCCACTTTTCAATTAGGGAATCCAAAAGCTGTCTTTAAGCTTTGTACAGTTGCGTAAAAGTCCATCCTCAGAATTCCTTGAGGTTCTTTTCGATATTTTTAGAACTCTGTGAGCTCTTTTTAAATTCTTTTCAGAAGTCCTCTGGAATTATGTTAAGAACTCTTGACGTTTACTCAGAACACCTTGCAACTGAAATTCCCTTAGAGTTTCAGAAGAATTTCCTCAACAAAATTATTCCCGGCTAGAGCTAGAAATTATCGGTACTCCCTTGAAGTTTTCTGCAAAATCCCTTTGGGATTTCACTCAAAATTCATTTTAGTCGGTATTATTTCCATTTAATTCTACTACCTTATTTGCTTATCCTTGACAGATACGCGTATCTGTCAAGGATAAGCAAATAAGGTAGTGGAATTAAATGGAAATTACTAATCCTTCTCTCTCTATCTCTCTCATTATACAGGTATTCCACTAAGACGCCCGAATGCATCAGGATTCGGTATTCTTTTCGGAATTATCTTGGAACTATCTGCAGGATTCACTAGAAATTATAAGCAGAATTTTCTTGGAATACCAACCCAAGAAAATGTTCAATAAAGCTTGCCCCTCCTTTCACCACAACTGTGCTTTTTTTACATCAGGAATTTTCAATTCAGCTTGCCTCTCCGTGTAGCAAATTGTTGCAAATCCTGCATTAAAAATTTTCAATGCAAACTTGCCCCCATTAAATTTTACACCAGAACATTTCAATTGATCAGAACGATACAAATTTTCCACCGTTAATGTTCAATAACAATTGCTTCTCCAATCTTCTGATTGGTGCAGATTTCCTTTTTCCATTTTCCACCAGACATTTTCAATATAGCTTGCTTCTCCTATCATTAGAATGTTGCAGGTTTTCCACCAAATAACGCTTGCCCCTATTTTCAGACTTTTCATCATAAATTGTCAGTAAAGCAGCGTCCCTCCAATCATCAGAACGGTGTAAATTTTACACCAGAAATTATTATTAAAGTTTGTTTTTCTATTCAGCAGAAGGATGCACATTTAAGGACACAAAATTTTCCAAAAAGCTTGCCCATCCAATCACCACAACGGTGCAGATTTTCCACCAGAAATTTTCAATATAGATTAATTTTAAATAAAGCTTGTGCCTTCATTTATCAGACAAGTGCAAGTTTCCACCAGAAATATTCCGTTCATTTCATTTATCAGAGCAATGCAAATTTTGCACCAGAAATTTTCAATAAATCATGCTTCATTCACCAGAACGGTGCACCAAAAATATTCAGTGAAGTTTGTTTCACCATGCACCTTTGTGGTGCAATTCTTTGCCTCTTGATGTACCAGAATGCTGCAAATTTTCCAACCTTAAATTTTCAATGAAGCTTGCATTCATCAGAACGATGTAAATTATGCACCAGAAAATTAATAAACTTTGCCTCTACATTCACACAGTGTTGCGAACTTTCCACCAGAAATTTTCAGTTAAATGTGCTCCTCCAAATTTTTAGCGTGATTCAATTTTTACACCAGAGTTATTCATTTTGATTAGTCCCTCCATGCCCCACCTCGATGATATTTTTACACCAGAAATATTCAATAAAAAGCTATTTCTTCGATTAACCACCACGAAGGTGAATTTTTTCAACCTTAAATTTACCATCTTTGTTTAACTCTCCATGAACCACTCTGACAAAAAAATTACACCAGAATTTTTTTGTATGCACCACTAGGGTGCAATTTTTTAAACCCAAAAATTTAATTGAAGTTTGCCATTTCATGCACCTTTGTGGTGCAATTTTTAGGCACCATCTCACAGGAATTGACGCAATAAAAGGATTTCAGTGGCTTTATTTTATGAAATGAAGTTATTTTACCTTCAAATCAATTTATCAAGAAATTAAGTTATTTTATATTATAATTTTGTTAATATGAAAATAAAAATCTCATTTATAAAAGGAGGGGCAACTGCCCCCCACCTTGCCCCACCCTGTGCACGCCAGTGTGACCGTATTGCTAACGGAATTTACTCTTCGAGCATTTTTTTTTTTTTTTCAATTTACCAGCAGTACTAGACGTTCTTGATGTTCTCGGATGCACTCTGAAGTTTTCGGAACGTCCTTAAAGTTCTTCTGCCTAAAAGTTGCCAAAATTTTACTTATATCAATTCTTATGTCGCACAAAAATCGACCAACCGAGATTGATGCATCACAAGCTAGAATATTTTTAAATGCTTGAATTATGTGTTCTCGTGTAATTTAATTTGTTTTGGTGAAGTCAAGCACTTCATTTCATGAAAATTAAGAAAAAAAACATGATTCAGTTGGTTTTCGGTGAATGATTTAGAGTCACCCATTTATATCGTGGACACCCTTTAGAACCTTGTGACGTGTGCTTGAAAGTTTATAAATCAACTTGAGTGTGTTTAGATTTCTACTCCGTACCTCAAATCGTAAAACGCGATACAAAGACGGAATGATCGCATTGTGATCGACTTTTATTCTCCTTAACCTTGCGAGAAGCAAATGTTTACATTGCCAATTGCCATGCCAGACCATGAATCTTGCACTGCTTCCCTCATAGTGGGGAATTCTCTAAACAGTCAGCTCAAACAAAGAAGCCCAAAGCGGGGATTCGATAGTGATTCACCGCTTGTCGATCCCGCTACAAGCGGTAATCGAACTCCCAACCGGGACAGGGTACGCAATAATCCGTCTGGTTTCCAACCAAACCTAAAACAACACAAACCAACAACCGATCGTCATTGAAATCGAGAAGCACGACAAGGAAAATCTCGTTTGTAGGTTCCTATTTTTGCGGGTATTCACTCTCCCCACCCCCACCCATGTCTGTTTCACTTTGATTCGTCGAGGACGGTGAGGCCTACTTTGATCGACCGGCCGGCGACGATGGTTTTGTACGATCGAATACCGTTGACGTTGAAGGGAGAAAAAAAAACCTACGGGGATCCGGGGGGTGAGTGGATTGAGCACTTGAACTTGTGTTCACTGTAGCTGCTACATGCAAAGAACAAACAGAGAATGAAATTTGAAATGTCACACCGGCGTTGTTTTCGTTGTCGTTGTTGTGCAGTAACCTGATAGCGGTAGATAGCGTTGTCGTCGTCGTCGTGGTCATCGTTTTTGAATGCCGAAAAAGGAACAACCGAAATGGGTGGAAAGCCACCTTGCCTCCTATATATATATTTAGAACACACAGCCAAAGTTGGGTATAGGAGCGGCACTTTACCTAATTGATATTTCGATTTATTCGGTTTTTGGAACTTTGGTTCTTTTGTTTTCGTCCGTCCGTCAATCTGTCAAGGTGTTCGTGGTAGTAGGTCACGTGCTAGCATCGTCGGCAGTATTGGCACTTATTCCCAGTTCCAATGCAGGCTTTCACTTTGACACACAGTAGGAGAGAATTGTTTGTGATTTTCGAGAGAATGTCTCGCCGGTGTGGTGGTAGAATCTTATCAGCTCGGTTGTTTTTTTTTTTTTGGTAGAGCGTTGAGATAGCGTGGCTTCTTGACTCGCGAAGGTGCCTGGCCGTAGTAAACCAAGCACGAAATTGGATCCCCGCGATGGGGGAAGGTGCGGCCAGCGGAAGCACGGGAGGTGGAGGGATCTAATTCGATACGAAGCTATTTACGTGATTGTACTGGAGTGCCCCCTGAATGAGTGCGAGGGCATCTGTTTTTCCGTGTTTTCAAAAATTACCGTCCACGAGGATCCGGCTCATTCAGCAGTATTTGGATGACGTTAGACCGAAGTAGGCGGTTCGGTGCGTGGCGATGGAAATGCGGTGTGCATAGCGCGGTTCAATTCTCAAGTGGCAAATCGTGCTCCATCTAATCAAGAGACGCTAAATGATCATGAAGTGCGCGCTTTGCCCGTGAGCAAGAGAGAGACGGCCCGAGAGGTATCTACTGCCATCTGAGTGGACCGAAATTGTGCAAAATTTCGCCAGATAGGCGCAGTAAGGCCCCGGTTCTACTCGTCGAAGGGTCGCTCGACGGGCGAATGTGTGAAAGTGTCGCGGGTGTTTTTTTTCGCGAATGTGACAGCTCGCGGAACGAGTGATTTATCGGCGGTTTGTTTTCGTTGGCAACGCGGGCGGCGTCGACGGCGCCGGTATACTAGTGTAAACAAACCCATCAACTGTCAAAAGATTGAAGGGAGGAAAAGGGTTGAATCCGTTTGTGCAAAATGTTAAAATGCGCAAATCGTGCACGAAGTAATGATATCGTAGACAACCGGGAGTTGCGCAAACGGTCGGTGTGTCGTCTAGAGTGTCGCCAGCCGCGGTAGTGTTGGTGAGAGATAGAGAAGATTGTTTTGTTTTATTTGAGAATACCCGGTTCGAGGTACAATTTATATTGCACACATATGTTTTCGTAATTTAGCGGCGTCCCGCTCGCTCTATCGCGCTCGCTCACTTGTTCTACTCGGTGCTACTAGCAGTGTTCGCGTATCAATTGCGAATGGAGGTAACTTCTGCCGTCAGGAAAAACGGACAGTGGGCGCTGTCGGAGACGATTTACACATTGATAAAAACGGAAATCTTCGATTTGAGACACAACGATGAAGTGCACCTCGTGCGTCAGTAGCCAGCCGAGAAGCGACGACGACGACGAAGTGATAGCCAGTTCCACTAGAACCATGAACAAGATCGAAGAGGAATACCGTGTCGAGTCGCCACCCACACTTCCGGAACGTGCCTTGACCTCGAGGGGTCCTCCTTCGGTTTCTATCATCGAAGTTCCACCCGACTACCGGGGAGAATCTTCACGAGTCTACGACATCGCCCTGGATAAACAACACAGCCCCAGCCCAAGCAGCAGCTCGCACCATCAACGCCCTTTGGACGTCATTGCCGAGGAATCCAGCGATGTAAGTGATTCCGAAAACAGACCATCACCCCCAAAACCGGATCTCTGCTTCCCGCGACCGAAGGCACGCTTCAAAAAGGCCAAATCACGAAACCTGCTGAAGACACTGCTTCAACCGAAGCAGGAACAAACAACCTGCGTCCTCGTGGACGCCAAAATCGCCGAATCAGCCCCGGAGGAATACCGCAGTGTCTGCACAACGGAAGTCGTCCCCGAGGAAATCCTCGAGGTGGAGGTCATCGATCTCGGGTCGAATTCGAGCAGTTTAGCCGACCTGACCGACATTGAAGACCTTGACGAAGATCAATCGCCGGTATCTGAATCGCAACCCGCCCCGAATGACGTCGTGGAAGTTCAACGTGATCAAGATAAGATAAACAACAATGGCAAGATTGACAGCGGTGGCGCTAATGAGTTCCGCAAAACGTCTTCACCACCACCGCCGAATCGCGATGATAATGACAATGAAATCGATTTTCAATCGGATGCAACAACGTCTGAAACCGTGGAAATAGGAACGGTGGCGGAAATCGAGGAGGAACAAGAGCAAGTTTACAGCGAGGAAGACAACAACCATTACGCCGACGACGACGACGACGTCGGTGGCAACAATCGTGAGAGCAGAATTTTCACGCAGCCGCACGCAGTTATGCAGAATGATGATGACGATGACGGTGATGATACTAGTGACAGTCACGAAAATGATCGCAACAAGTCGGATTGGGAGTACGACGACGAACGCACCGGCACTAGTCTACTCGCGGGTGTTGATCGTGCTGGCGTCGTGACGCAGCATCGGAATGTCATCGAGGTGAAAGAGTGCATCGCTACGACCGAAGGCGACAAAAACGATTCAATCGATTGTTGTGTGACTCATCGTCCCAGCAGTAGTGATACGATCGAAGATCGACCGGTGATCGGGGATTCCGGTGGGGTTCATCCCAAAACAATCGAAATGACAGAAGAAACTGAGCAAGTGCCAAAACCGCCGCCTATTCCTTTGCGGCCGCCGCCGCCACCGCCGTCTGCCATTGCTGCGCCCACTGCGACGGCGGTGACAGTTGAACCATTGCCACCGCCCGCCGTGACTAATCTAGGTCGAGACGTCGTAAACGAAGACCTAGAAAGTGCTACCAGTGACGGTTCTACTGTGGCGTGCGAAAATGGTCAAATTCATAGTGGCAGTGATACTGGTGAAGCTGATTATTCAAATGCTGATCAGAATAGTGCGCAAGATAGTGTCGATGCAGTAGCGGTCGAGAGAGCCGCCGACGATAGTGAGTCAAGTGTTCTTTTGAAATTTCTACAAGATTCGCAGCGGCCACCGCCATCAGCGGAAGCCAGTGTGGAAAATCGTCCCACTTTCGTCGAAAAGCAGCAGCAAAATTTACCAGCGGTGACGACCAAAATAGAACGTGCGGTAAAAAGCGACCAGTTGAATTATGAAATCGTTCAAGATCATCGCGTGCTGAGGGAAGAAACTGTGACCACCGCTACCCGCACTGCTTCCTCAAGCTCCTCCACCGCTACTACAGGTGAGGTACTTCTACGGCGCCGGGGAAGTCAACCATCCGAATCCCAGGCCAAGGAACACTCGCCGGAACAGAGGGCCGCCCTGGTGCACGATCTACGCAACGAAATTAGCCGCATCAAGGACGCCGAGCTGCAGGAAGAGTTTCGCAAGCTCGAACTCGAAGCGGCTCGAATCGAAGAGGAACTCGGACAAATGGCTACCATGATGCCAAAGATGGCACATGCCACCGCTCCTCCCCCTTCAACGGAAAACCTCACCTACTACGTTTCCAAGCAGAACGACTTTGCGGTGGAACGAACGGCTGCACCACGCAACAAGCCACCGCCACCTGTTGCAGCTGCACCGAAACCTTCCTCCAACAGTGTTGCCAAATCCTCCTCCAACGATCAGCTCTACAGCGAATGGCAGCAAAAGATGGAAGAACGTGAAACACGCCGCCTGCACAAAGTAATCAATGTTACCAAAACTTCCAACGAACCCTCCTCGGAACCCATCCCGCTTCCTCCACCCCCACAAACGACTTCGACCCCACCGGAAGACCCCACCCTCGAAGACGAGTATCTGAGAAAAGTCAAAGATCGCCGCCGGAAGTTTACCATCCCAGGTAGCGACGGTGGCAGTAGCGATTATGACGATAGTCCTTCAGCTCCGAACAGCACCCCGGCGACGCCGATTGCCAGTCGGAAACCGATTCCCAAACATATCGAGGCGGAGTTTGCCAACTTTGCCGAAATTCGCAAACGGCAACAGGACGAGGAGAAGAAGGAGGAGGAGCTTCGCAAAAGGCAGCAACAACACAACGACGTGGACGACGCGATGAACAACATGAAGAACAAAGCTGGTGAGTCATCGTCCAATGGAGCGATCGACCGGCGGCCACCGGGGCTGCTGGTGCTGGCCAGCGCCATTGGGATCGTTGTTTGGAGTGTTTGTCGTGTGTTGTTTGGAAGGAAATGATATTATTTTTTAACATGATCTTTTTTTTTTCTTCTGTGTATGTTGATTGTATAAGTGTTATTTGATTTTAATTTTGGTTTTAATATGATTACTGTTTAACACTAGTCCGTTTATGTATAAAGAGTTACTACATGACCAAAGAGAGGGAAATCATTCCCGCGAGATGGGAGAAGATTGTGAAGTGCAATAATTGTTATTTGTTGATAATCCTGATAATAAAAGTTAAACGTTTACAGTTATGAAAAATGCTCATTCCAGATGTCCGTGGATCAGTCTTTCTCTTTGTGCTTGTTTTTGTTTTTATTTTGGATATTATTTAGGTATAGAAAGAGGGGAAACCAAGTTCCAAGTATAAGAAATATCCGTATTACAAACATGGCTTGAAAATCATTATTTGAGGCTATCCACATACACAGTTTGACGGCTAGTTCTGGTCAGTACACGAAATTACGTGCAATTGCTTTCCTTCGTTGTATTCTGGGACGCCCTTCACTCAGTTAATTTAGGCACCGTTTCCGCAATTTTGCTTAAACAATCGAGAGGTTCCTCAACAATCAATAGAAACTAACGATTTTAAATTGGCTCATTACTTGACTAGCCCATTGGTCCCAAAAACATCTATAAGCGTACTCCATTCCCGTACTAGAATCTGTATTTGTTTTGATTCACCCTACAAATTTGACAGAGCTTAATGAGGGGTTCGTGGATTTTCCGACGTTTCGAGGGGTGCTACAATTAGCTTGCCGAAGATTGAGCATGTTTCAACGGAACTCCCTGGTCTAAGTTTTAGCAACCGGTGGAAACTAACGATTTAAAATTGGCTCACAACTTGACTAGCCTATTGGTCCCAAGTACATCTATAAGCATTCCCCATTCTAGTCGAAATTCTAGTACTACAGTATGTTTGTTTTGATTCGCTATGAAAGTTTGACAGATCAAAGGAGGGGTTCGTGGATTTTCCTATGTTTCGAGGGGTGCATCGAACCGAAGATAGCACCAGAGCTGAGCCAAAAAGTTGAGCACGTTTTTTCGGGACCTTCTGGTCTTAGAGTTACCTCTATGGTTTTAGTCTATGCTATAACCATTGAAGCTTTCAATTCTTCATGCCTCACGGGACAACGCTAAACTTTGCTTAGCAATCGCATTCTGTTACTTTCTCGGTAATATTAAAACTTAGAGGTAGTCCGATGAGCGCTATTGGTTTTCACTGACCTCAGGTCTAGATTGAAACACGCATCGATTTTCTCCTTCCGAATCCAAAAAAAAATGAAGATGAAAACAAAACATTTATCGATACATTAAATGGTTGGTTCTATGAAACCAGACCAAATCTTTACTGGGATCCTTCAGAAATCCCTCTAAGATTCTCCAGAATCACTTCTGGGAATCTTCGGAATCTCTCCGGAATGCCTACTGAGACTTGCTGAAGCTCCTCTTGGGACTATCCAGATTACCACTCAAGATTCTCCCAAATTCCTTGGAATCTTTCCTGGGAATATTGAAAAACACTTCTCTTGACTGTCACTTAGAGTTCTCTGGAATTCCTTTAGGGATAATTAATATCTGGGATCCATTTCAGGATTCTTAAGATTTCTTTCTTGGGAATGATTAGAATCTCTCCAAGGGCTTCCTAAATTCTTCTAAGGATTATCTGGAACTGTTTTTCAGGATTCTCTAGAGACTCTATCAATATCTCTGCGATTGATTGGAATTTTTCCTGGGATCAGTTTTTGAAAATAATTAAATATTTTTGAGGATGTTTAGAAATATTCGATGATATTTTCAAATATATCTAAGCAGTCATGTCCCTTGGATTCGACGGAATCCCGTCTGGAAATTCCAGTTTGGTCTGGAATTTCTCTTGGAAATTATCCATTGCTTATCTCCGCAATCCCCACCTAACAAACAATTTGAGTTGATCAACAGCTGAATAAGCCATTTTTTAGCTGAAGAAGCTTATTTCTGGCTGAATAAGCTCTTATTCAACATTCAATGTTTGTTGGGCAGCTCATAGCAAAAACAAATGGAATTTCCCTAACTAACATGAAATTTTGCTTAATTGTTTGTTATGATCATTCATTTGAGTGACGATTCAGCCATTTTGAATCTCGCAAAAAAACTCCAATTTAAGGTACTCAAAACTTTTAACAAATCATAACTCCAAACCGTCATTTTTAATAGAAATGACGTCATTTTTCAGAAAAATAATAGCTTTTCAGGAAAAAATTACACAGTAAAAAAATCTTATAATTTTGGGTAAAAAATCCAAAAAGTGCCTAAAACTTAAATAACAAAAAATAACCTTTTCATTATGTTTTGAATGTATTTCTTTGAAAAGCTTAGGAAAATGCTATTTTCGGAGAAAATTTCAAGTTGGACACCTAAAAATTAACAACGTTTTCATTTGATAATATTTTTAGTATAATTATTGTTTGCCCAAGAAACCGAATTTAAAAGTATAAACAATGGTTTTGTATTCAACCTTTTAAAGAAATTGATTCAGTAATCACGCCAACTTTTGTAACACGAGCATTCACGCGTTGTACTTTGTCCGATCCTGCTCGGAAGGTCTCGTAATGCTGTCCACACAGACGGTTACAGTCTTGGACAAATTTGTTCAGTAGGTCAAGGACTTTTGATTGGTGGACAGAAGTTCTGAATATCCTCACTACGCGGCGCTAGTATGCAAGTGAATATCCTGAATATGATATATATTGGGATCCTGGTTATTTAGAAGGTTACAGTCTTCGGAAAATATGTTGAATTTTGGTTGATGGACAGAAGTTAAAAAAAATTCTCACTACGTGGCGCTAGTGTGTAAGTTAGTTTCCTGAATATGCTATATCTTGGGATCCACGGCCAGGGGTTGAAACAGTTGACGTTTTTTACTACACTCGCTTCGTTGTCGTGCGCGACAGTCTGTTTGTATTCGAACACTCATGCTCTACCGACGTCTCTCTCACACAACACGAGCGGTAGAATAACATTCGAGCTAAAAGAAAATTATCAAAATAGCTATCATATGACATGTGTGATTTCGTTGCAATTCCTCAATTTGGTGTAAATCAAACCATTTCTGATCAGAAATATTATTACTAGGACATCTTTGCATGCTGTTTTCAGAATTCACACAAGCACACCATCAGCAGCTCTTAATATGAGAAAAACTAAAATACATACATTCGTGACGGTCTTCGGCGACAGTGTCGTATGACAGAGCCTGTCATACGACATTTTAGTTTGGTACTGTACTATGATAGCTTGTTTTGCAAGTGTCGGAGGCAAAGGCAGTCAATTATCACAGAAAATGTGTCGACTACCGTGACCGCTTACAAGACTGTCCACGGCATATAAAGGGTTACAGTCTCTGGCAAATTTGTTCAATAGGTCAACGACTTTTGATTGGTGGACAAGAGTTCTGAATTTTCTCACTACGCTGCGCTAGTGTGCAAGTGGTTTTCCTGGAAATGCTATATCTTGGGATCCTGGTCATATAGAAGGTTACAGTCTTCAACAAAGTTATTCGGCTTTTTGATAGGTGCACAAAAGTTAATCTCACTGCATGGTGCTAATGTGAGTAAGAATTTCCTGAATCTGCTATATCTTGGCATTCAGGCTAGAGATGAGCGATCCGCTCCCGGGCTGTTCTATAGACCCGATTCTCTAAAGTGAGCTGATGAAATGCGGTTCATTTTTTAGGAACCGCCGCTCATCAGCTCACTGATATCACAAGTCTAAACCATACATTCCATCACTCATAGCGGAACTTTTAAAAAAGGACACATTACTCCACTAACGCATTGAACAGTTACCGCGTAAACCAAGACGCGCGCGTAATACAACATGTGCCTACTGATCGACAGCACCAACGGTAAAAGCAAACTGCCAAGCGACTTTTTGGGAGAGAGCGAAATATGTACATGTGCTACACGATCTTAATTTTCTACTGGTATTATCCAATTTATTTATGTACCCGGCCCTTATTGCTGATGTTATTCCTCCAGCATATGTGCCCTCACCTCTCCTCCCATCATTCTCTGGGGGAGCGGAAGATCCGCACAAAAGCAAACAACCGAAAAGCGAAATGCAGCTCTCCAGCTTATCAGCTCAGCTCCGGATCCGAATCATCGACTCGAATGATTCACTGGGAGCTGATTAGGATGACAACTCTCGGACCCGTCCAGCTCTCGGACCCGACCAGCTCTTCGGATCTTTTTTTCTCACTCCATTCTTCACGATTCAGCTTCGGATCCGTATCTGAGCTGATGCCGAGAATAGTGAGAGAAATTCTGCTGGAGAATTAACATCAGAAATAAAATTTGAATTTAGACTGGAGTGCATAGCTTGAGAAAAGGCGTAGCATCGTGTGCCACGTTGTCAATCATATCATCGCGTGTGACATAGGTGTAGCTCTCTCGCATACATTTTTTTACTGCTATGTTGTTGGCACATTTTGCGCGCATTTTGGTTTACGCGATGGTTGATCAGTTGTTGTGTTAGTAGCGTTTTCCATTGAAAAGTAAAGCCATGTTGTAAGGTACGGATTTATTGGTTTAGACTACTTTTACGATTTTATGCAGTTTTAAGCACTAAAACCACTAATTAATTTTCCGATTTTGAAATGGTGTCATAATTTCTATAATTTCAATGTAAGCTGAAGAGCTGTTCAAAAGAATTGGCTCCCTTTAGTGAGCTGGATGGGTTTTATCCATTCAGCCAGATGAGCTGTTTTGCCCACCTCTAATTCAGGCCATATAAAAGGTTTCTGTCTTAGGCAAATGTTATCAGTAGGCCAAGAACCTTCTATAACTTTGACTATATGTTTTGTATTACTTCTGCGTGAAGTCAACGATTTACATAGTTTAAGATGCTAATTTCAAAAAA